AACTTTCAGATCTTGTGCTGAGTGTCCAAGTAAATTAAAATGATTCGAAACAGGTTTCTGTGTGTTGCCATTCCCGGTGTCCAATGTGTCAATTTATTCTTTTGCCCAGAGATTGTCCTGTTTGTCCTATGTAGAGTTCAAAGGAGCATTGCTGGCAAAAGATGGTATAGATAATATTGACAGAGGAACAGTTAAAAGTACCTCTGATGTGTTTGACATTGTTGCATCCTGAAATGGTGTTGCCAGAATAAATGTGGGGGCAGAGCTGGCATCTTGGTTTGTAGCCGATTTTAGGCCCCATCTCTCTGTCAGTGTTGTATGTCAGTAGTTGCTTGAGAGTGGGAGGGTAGTCAATAAGCAAGTATAGGACTGCTACCAAGGGCTTGCGAGAGTGAAGTATTTTTGTCAAGGATGGGCTGGAGATAACCTAAGATGTGTGATAGTGATCTCAGTTGTGGACCAAAAGTGAAAACTAGTTCGGCCATTTTCTCTTCTGGGTTTGTCTTGCAGTAGGTTACTTCTGAGTATTCATCTTGCTCTGTTAATTTGTTCCTTAGTCATATTGGGGGGGGGGCTATTGTACTCTGAGGAATGCATTTTGTAGATCCTTGAGTCCTAAGTCTCTATCTTGTGAATCTGAGCAGATGTGATTTTATCTGAAGGCTTGACTGTAAACAACAGGTGTGTGTGTGTGTGTGTGTGTGCGCGCGCGCACGCGTGCGCGTGCGTGTGCGCGTGTGTGCGTGTGTGTGTTCAATATGGAAGCATGCAAGTAGGTATATTGATCAGTGGGTTTTTTTGTGCAGTGTGGTACTAAGATATCCATTTTATAGTTTTATGGTGGTGTCTAGAAAATGCATCTCTTGTGTAGATTGCCCAGGCTGAGGTTGATGTTTGGATGAAAGTTATTGAAATCCCAGTGGAATTTCTTTAGAGATTCCTTTCCTTGGGTCCAGATGAGGAAAAAAATGTAATGAATGTACCTCAAATAGAGGAGTGGTTTGGGGTGCAACAGTTAAGAAAGTGTTGATCTTGGTCAGCCATGAATATGTTTGCATATTGTGGGGCCATGGGAGTGCTCATGGCAGTTCCGTTGATTTGGGGCAATTTTTTTTAAAATCCTTACAGCTAGAATAACAGATGTATAAACAGTAGAGGAGTTCCTGGTAAGAATGTCATACTTGATATTTTCTGGCATCATAGTGCCTTTTTCATAGCACAGAGACTAACATGAGTTGTCACAGGAGGGATCCCTATGTTCTAATAAGATTTCCTTTATTATAGCAGCTTGTGCAAACATGCCAGAGAGAGTTGCAGTGGTATCTGTGAGAAGTACCTTTGGTGGCATGAGGAGAAATGGCGTTGTTTATTCAGGATTTCAGATTCCAGAGGAATTTACACTACTACTTTTTGTATTGTTACTGGTCATCTCTTACACCAGCCAGCATGATACAACTTTTGCAACGACAATAGCCACCACTACTGTCCCAGAACTATGTATTTTTTTAAAAAAAATCACTGGATAAGCCAATCTTGGACCCAGATCATCATTCTCAAAATTAAGATTTTATTGAAGCTGGCATTTGTTGTTTATTTTTGCTGGTATCCATTAAAGAGGCTATCATGTCTTGAAGAAGCTTCATCTCTAGAGATGGACATGACTTAAAAACAAACAAACCAGGGGATCTGTTAAAAACTGATGTTTCATTGATTCAGGTTGGATTGGTTTAATCACAACCAATGAAACTGAACCACCCTGAAACATGAGGTGTTTGTTTGTTTTTGGTTTTTTGTGGTTTTTTTTGCAATTTCATGAACTTTCTGGTTTTTCCCCTACCTTCACCCCTTTCCTGTTGCCCTCGTCAGCTCCCTACCAGGTCCTGTTGCCTCCCCCTCTTTGTCCTCTGCCTTCACCACCATCTTGAGACACAGCAGGTCTGGCTTTCCTTCCAGGAGCTGGGCCTGCAGTCTATGCATAGGACCCCAACCCCGCCTATCAGCTGATGGGTGGGGCATGTGCAGAGACTGCGGGCCTGGCTTTTGGAAGGGAAGCTCAGCCTGTCGCTCAAAATGTCAGCAGTTGTGGTAGAGAAGCAAGAGGCAATAAGACCAGTTAAGGAGGTGATGGGGGCAGTGGGCAAGCTGTGGGGCTGCAAATGGATGACCCAGCACCACCTTGTTCATTTGCAGTGATGTAGTAGTAGTAGTAATAGGTGGTGGCAGAACTAAGGTAGGTGATGGGGGCAGTAGTGACGTATTTTACTTGGCTGCAAAAGGGTCTATTATTTTAGATTGCTTGTAATTTATTTTAAATCATTTTGGTAAGTGTAGGTGCCTCTGCTGGTGTAAATCATTTCTGTGGGGTTTGTCATTAAAAAGTAGTTATGGTTTGTGGTTCATGGGTAGCCATGAACCAAGAACCACCATTTTTACAGTTCATGTTCATCTCTACTCATCACTTCATTTCATATTCATTACCATTGGAGGTGAATGTGAGTAGTCTTCATCTTTCCTTCTCAGCCATGATGTATCTGAATACAAAAGATCCATTTGTAGGTCACCATGCCCCCAGAAACTATTCCTCATAGATGCCACCTTTCTTTCAATGGAGAAACATTTCCAACTTCTTTATCTGAGCACACAAAAATATGGTGTTTTGGGAACTGCAGTGGTATATATAGAGTTGATAATTTCTTGTTATATATTAGTAATTAGAGAATGTAGAATTGCTGTCTCAATACATACATATTATCTTATTTCAGACATACAGGGCATACAACCAAATACTATAATGAGGAGTGTTAATACTGTATTCAGGACATTCTGTTCCATTCTCTCTCCCTGCTGACTTTCTGTTTTTCTGCTACACTTCCTTGACTATGAGGGAAACCCCAGCTATAAGCAGAATGAGGTAGTTAGGTAGCAGGGCAATGGTGATAGAAGCAGGTTCAGCACCTTGGATAACTCCTGTAAAGTGCAGGCTAAAATCTGAATTCTGAGCTAAAGTTCAAATGCTCTTGGGATGGTCCAACAGACTCTACTCCATGCAAACTGAGGGTGCTCAATGAGCAGTTTGGGTTCCTCCCTCTTTGCATTTTTCTCTAAAAAAAATTTGTACTTCCATAAACTTTAGAGCTTCCTCCCTCCCTCTTTGGACAGTGGTCTGTAACCATCTCTGTTGCAAATGCTTCTAATCGGAGTTTTCATTCATTTTATAACTTTCCCTGCACACCACCACGGCACTCACAGTAAAAATGTGCTAGCTATAAAAATACAAGGCAGGGAATAAGAGTGTGATGCTTTAAATCTGCAGAGGGAATCAAAGCAAAAATGAAAGGGCAAAGAGCAGTGCAGTTCCTCACTCACAACAAGGTTCTCACATTGTGTGTTTATATGGGATGTATTGCATTTTAATCGTTAAATAGCAGGAGAAACATCTGAAGGCTAACGTGGCAGGAGGAGTGCCTGCTGAATGGCAGAAGATGGCCTCTTTCGCCCAATGTAGTAAGTCCCAAAATGATGGGAATTTTAAAAATGTGAAAATGAAGATCGAAAGAATAATAAAATTTCAAAGGGTAAAAGATATGGATTCTCTTCTGGTTAGAAGTAATAGCTGGGAATGAAATATACCATCCTCCCTCCTGGTCAAAGCATCTCATGAAAGTCAACTTTCTCTGCCAGTAGTCCACTGATGAGCTTCAACATTTGTTGGCAGACCACAGCAACAGACCAGTTGTGTACTGCTTTATTCTGTTTGTCCATTTGTTGAAACCACAAGTCATAAAATTACTTTAAAAAATAGTGCAGTAAAATTTTGGGGATAGTTGTAGGCTGCAGGGCAGGTTTCTACCATTTAACACCAAAATCCCCAGCCAATTTTTATAAAAACATCCGAGCACTTAAAGTTTCATAGTTTGGTTGGGGACAGTGTTCTTGGTGGTCTGGGTAGATACTGAAAGCTCCCTGAGGCAGAAAACTACCCTCCCCGACTCACCAAAGCAACTCACCCCTTTGTTAAGTTGACCCAAGTTTATCTGAGGGTTTGACTACATGTGGAAAAAAACCTTGTTTTTAATTGGATTTAGCATGCTGAAAATCGATTTTAGACATTCCAACTGCACGACAAACAGGGAAACATGGATTTTCTTTCTTCTGGGAAGCTGATTTTAGTTGGAAAGTGAGGTATTTTACTTGGCTACAAAAGGGTCATTTATTTTAGATTGCTTGTGATTTATTTTTAATCATTTTGGTAAGTGTAAATGCCTCTGCTGATGTAAATCAATTCTGTGGGGTTTGTCAAGTAATTGTAGGATCAACGTTTTCGGGGCTGCAGGAAAACCTTGCAGTTTGATTTGCAAAGAGCCAGCAGAGAGAAAAAGGTTTGAGAGGGGATATTGCTCCCTGCTTCACAAGCCTAGAAGCTGCTGACCTTGTCAAGTATTTTCCCTCCCTCCATCCTGGCTGCTGAATCCGTTGCTCCCTCTGGGTGTATGTCTGTGTCTGTGTGTCTGTGCCTGTGTGTTTTCTGTCATGCACATCTGTCATGAACATGCGTCAGGCTGCAAGCAAAGTTTTCAGTCCAATCTGTTTTAATTATTTTCTGTCTGTTAAATTGACCTAGTGCTATGTCAGATTCCAAGAAATAAAAAATAAAAAAGTATTTCAAAATGACATCACTACAGCGGTTTGTAGCTGTGAGAGGCAGCTATTGAAAGAGCAGATATGTTTAAGACAAAGCCTCACATGTAATGAATCTAAAGCCCAAGTAGCCACCGCAACCAATATATAACACAGTTTAAAAATGGATCACACGTTTTCCCAAGAGGATGCACATACTGACCCAAAAACCATGTGACTACCGCATGACTTTAAACCATCTTCAAAAACCACAATTCATCTTCCTATTCCTTTTCATAGTGTAACTGCATCCTGACGTAGAACAGTTTTAATTCTGCTTCAAAACTCTTAACAGCCTCCTCCTCATCTCTCCTTTGCTGCAGGTCTTATGCCACCATGCAGCATTATGGAGTGAACGGTTATTCTCTTCATGCTATGAATTCGCTGAGCGCCATGTACAACCTGCACCAACAGGCAGCACAGCAAGCTCAGCATGCTCCAGACTACAGGCCATCCGTGCATGCCCTCACTCTGGCAGAGAGATTGGCTGGTAAGAACAACTTATAGATCCTGTGCTTGCACTGGACGTATGTACAGTACTGCAGTCTGGATGTTGCTGAAATGGGAAATACATTGTCAATAGACCTGCGTGTTAGCACTTGGCAAGGAAAGGAATGGGTGGGAAAACCAACTCCAGTCTTCCTATCTCCTTTGGTTACTCTGGATCTAGTCCCCTTTTAAAGAAACCTTGCATGTCTTTTCCTCTTACAATATCTTTTAGTCTGGTCATTAAAAGCACATACTTAAAAATGGAAAACAATTGTATTTTGATTTTTGGAAAGCAGGGTATATGTTTATGGGCTTGTTAATAATAATCTTCGAACTAACTGCAGATCTGGAAGGAGCCCTATTTTCCTGGGGTTCTCTTTTTTGTTTTTTGTTTGTTTGTTTTTGAGTTGTGTGGGTGTGGGTGTGTAGTTCTATGGGGCTTTCTCCTAGGTATTGCACACTGCAGGAGTGGGTAACTTTAGCGAGTATGGAACCCAGTTTTCTCCTCCAAGGTGTCCTCTCGATAGTTGAAAATGCCCAGAACACAACTGGATATCCACTTCCAGCTTTGAAAAAAAAGTTTTGTTTGTTTCATTTTTATACTGCCCATCTGGCCAAAAACCACTCTGGGCGGCTTACAGCAAGAAACATACACTAAACACGGCTAAAATACAGAATAGGTAAAGGTTCCCCTTGACATTTAGTCTAGTCGTGACCAACTCTAGGGCGTAGTGCTCATCCCCATTTCCGAGCCATAGAACCAGCATTGTCTGAAGACAGTTTCCGTGGTCACGTGGCCAGCACGACTAGACACGGAACGCTGTTACCTTCCCACTGAGGTGGTACCTATTTATCTACTTGCATTTTTACATGCTTTCGAACTGCTAGGTTGGCAGGAGCTGGGACAAGTGACAGGAGCTCAGTCCATTGCATGGGTTCAGTCTTACAACTGCTGGTCTTCTGACCTTGCAGCACAGAGGCTAATGCAGTTTAATCCGCAGCGACACCACGGCCCCTAAAATACAGAATACAACCAATCTAAAAATAATAATAGTAAAATAAAAATAAATAATACAATTAAAGTACTTTGAAATACAATTAATATGAATAGACAATTAAAATAGTGGAATTAAATCATGGTAGACTAAAAAGGTTCAGTGGGCTCCACCCGTGTGATATTTTGAAATGCCTGCCTAAATAACAAGGTTTTCAAAGATTTCTTTAAAAATCAACAGCGAGGGAGCTGGGTGAATTGCAGGAGGCAATTCATTCCACAGTCAAGGAGCAACTGCCGAGAAAACCTGGTTTCTCTTTTCTTCCTCTCTCTCCAGGCCTCTCTGAGAGTTAGAGTCCTCAGCTGGCCTGCTTGGTGTTAAATGGTGAGGGAAGTTGGCACCTATTTAGAAGATAAAGCACACTTCATGAAGGCTTCCAGAAAGGCCTAGAAAAGGAACTGTGGGAGTCTGGGAGAGGGGCCACCAAACAGCCTTGTTGGCTTTCAAATGCCTCTACAACCACACTTTGCTCATCTCTGAATGAAAGGATTGGGCCCTCAGTATATCTTGGGTGTTTTCCTTCCTTTAAATGCCTATTTCAACACCTAAGTTTCAAAGGGCACAATGAGCAGGGTAAAAGAATGGGTTTCTGTCCACCATTTATTTGTTAACAGAAAAAACTAATGTCATGTTTTTAAAACTCTGAGGTTTTAAAAAATACACAGCAAAGTAATCCCATTTACTAAAAATCTGAAAGTTCTCTATATGCCCTTCATCTCTACTGCCTGAAAAATTATTATCTCTGTTTTCTATAGATTCTCAGTGCCAGAGTTATAGCTCATGACTTACCACAGTGTTTTCTTACCTCAACCCAGATGGAGGGGCTTCTTCTAAAGCTAATCTAGTCCCTGTATTAAAAGCCTTCCCATTTAGGATTTGTCTAGGGTTTTTAGCAGCCTCAGCTGACCTTCTTTGCCTGATGCACACAAATTACCCTAATTAAATTGGCCACTTCTTTTGTCTTCCAACGGCTGTACGTTTCAAGACATCATCTTGGAGGCCCGTTATGGCTCCCAGCACCGCAAACAGAGAAGAAGCCGGACAGCTTTCACAGCCCAACAACTGGAAGCCTTAGAGAAAACTTTCCAGAAGACTCACTATCCAGATGTGGTGATGAGGGAGAGACTGGCAATGTGTACTAATTTGCCAGAAGCCAGAGTACAGGTAATTGAGCTGGAGTACTTCTTATGTTAATATTCTGGGGCTGAAGAAAGACGCAGTAAATATTCAAATATTTTTTTGTCCTCAGCAAAAAAAGAAAAAAGAAAAGGTGCTTCAAACTATGTCCAATAATGATATTTGTAAAAAATAACATCCATCCAACCTTTGAACCCTCTACCTTTATATTCTTGAAACTTTAACAGTATTGTGTTAATCTTTTGTGCACTCATACTCCTGTAATATGCAGTAAAGTTTTGGGGATTATTCTGTATCTTGACTTCACAATCACTTTCCAAATGCAGATATTGCTTGCAAAAAGTGAACATGTAATGACCCTCAGCCCCTTCATACTCTTTGATGACGATGCTAGATGATAGAGTTAGCACATCTTTAGAAAAGGTGCTCCCTCAAGTGGTAAAAAATGTCTATCTGTCATAGTATGTTTTTTCCTCACATGTAGCTTGCACTTCACACACTTTACTTTTGAATTCATCGTGGAAGTTAAACACAGGCTTAACTTGCAAGTCTGATTCCTGAAGTGTGCATCTATCTGCAGATTCTTTGTGGGTAAGGGGGGGGGGAAGCGAATTGGAGGGAATAAACTTTCCCTTGACATCCAGTTCAACCATCAAAGTGACATCTGCATTAATTTGTTTCGAAATGGTTTTTAGCTCTTAACAGTTCTGTGTTTTTCACAGAATCCTTATCTGAAACCGAGGAGTTCATTGGTGGCAGTTTCTGAACAAGATGTATTAGTTATTAAAGTGCCTAACAATGTTGAAATTTTAGTTTTAATTCTAAAATACTTTTTTAAAAAGAAAATCCTAATCTATGGTATTGTTCCATGATTCTCCCCAACCCCTCCCCCCCCATGAAGGTTTGGTTTAAAAACCGAAGAGCTAAGTTTCGAAAGAAGCAGCGCAGCCTGCAAAAGGAGCAGCTCCAGAAACAGAAGGACTCCGAAGCTAACCACAGCGAGGGCAAACCCGATACCCCCGTCTTGGAAGCACAGACTCCAACTCCAGAGGCAGAGAAATCTTTGCACTTGCCGAGCGAGGTAAATACAGAGCTCAGTCTGACTATGTCTGAGCAGTCAGCAAGTGAATCTGCTGCTGAGGACCAGACAGACAGAGAAGAGGAATTCAAGATCTCCCTGGAAGAGAGCAAAGCAGAGAAGAGCCCTGGAGCTGAAAACAAGCCTTTGAACAGCAAGAGGGCGAGTCCAAAAGCAGGTGAGTGAGGAAAGACACGGACATGCTCTTCGGGCTGGGGGAGGGGCCTCGGAGCTCCACGGTAAAAGTTCTGATCTAAAGGAATCCAAGGAGGAGTAGAGAGAAATAGTGGCCCCTCAGCATAATCTGAACTGCGTCCAAATAAACTCTCATTGAGATCAAACAATTTTTCTCTCTCTCTCCAATGGACAAAAGACAAAAATAAGCCCAAGCGTTCCCACAAACCCACAAAATGTGGCTGGCTAGGCATGCGGATCCTACCTTGGAACATTTGTGTGACCCCACTGGTGGCTCTCACAGCCCTTTATCCCCTGGTGTTGTTGAGTTATTTTAATAGAGCTTTGCCTTGATCACGGATTTTGGAGGGAGCTTCCTCCCAGCTGGGGCATTTGACCCTGTCGCTTCTCTTGGTTTCCTGACATTGCACAAAACAGCGAACAGGCTACCCATCCGCTGATTGGGGCAAAGCTCTGTTTTTGTTTTTGTTTCATTTTTAATTGTTGCCACCCAGTGCAGTGCTGTACCAGACATTTTTTTTTTAAAAAAAAATTAAACGAACACCCTCACAACAGGGGATGAATGGCTGTGAGAGCCAATCAGTGGGAGGATCATTCACACATGTGAAATTGATTTCAATGATTCGATTCCACACCCACCATAAAATAAATGGACCTCTGGCAGAGGGCCAGGAAACTTGCTGCTGCACAGAAAAAAAAATACAATACCCTGTCAAATTAATTAATGCTTGCAAATACATTGTGTAATCACCAGGATTTAAACTCAGTTAAAACATACTAAACGTGATTTAAATAAGGGTGTGTTTTTGTTGTTGTTTTGTGTTTGTTTTTGTTTTACTAGTAGGATCAGGGCTCATAAGCAACTACTGGGTGATTTCTGGTTATTTAATTCTACCCAAAATTTTAAAAGTCCAAATCCCAGAGATAAGAATACTCTCCCTTCCCCTGTATCCCCTCCCCATGATCTCCCCCTATAATGTGGAGGGAAATGTGGCTGTCCTTCATTGGCCTACGCATCCTTGCATGTATCTAACACTTGATTGGGATTTACACAGATGTGTGAGAAATAACAATCCATAAGGAGAAGTAAACCATTGGTGTGTCCCCCTTACACCTTTCTGTATTTCCACATTCCCTTGCATGATGTACCAAAAGCTGCCTGCGTTTAGCATAACCTGGACATGAAGGTTGCGAATTGAATTAACTTTCGGTACTTCAAATGCAGTTCAAATCTCATTTTGAATTTGCTTCCTGCTACAGTTAGTGGGTTAAAAGAAAGAAAGAAAACTGACTTGACTTTGCTGTGTTTACAAATGCAGATTCCCCCATCAATGCTACGGCCACACCATCTTCCAGCAGCAGTCTGTCTCAGACTCACTCCTACTCATCCTCACCCCTCAGCCTCTTCCGCCTGCAAGAGCAGTTCCGCCAGCACATGGCCGCCACCAATAACTTGGTCCATTACTCATCTTTTGAAATGGGGACACCTTCTGCCATGCCGTATTTGGGCATGAATGTCAACATGGCCCCCCTGAGTTCGCTGCACTGCCAGTCCTATTACCAGTCCCTTTCCCATGCCCAGCAGGTGTGGTCCTCTCCTATCCTGCAAGCATCCTCTTCTCTCCCGAGCCTGAACAGTAAAACAACCAGTATCGAGAACCTACGGCTGCGAGCAAAGCAACACGCCGCCTCTCTGGGGTTGGACACATTACCAAACTGAACACCAGGCTGGAAAGAAAAGGCAGGGGGAACGCCCAACACCATTCAAAGAGCCCGAACAACAGATGACTTAAAGGAACCGCCACACATCTTTGCCACAGCTTGGGTTGGTCTTTGACATGCACTCGGTTTTATTGTGGTTCTGGTTTCCACGTCAGGCATTGCTCTGGCCTGCTTTTGCTGGCCCATTAAAATAAATAAATAAATAATGAATAAAACCCTGGAGAAGGGGAAGATGTTTTAAATGTGAATTTGTCTTCAGAACTGTGAGTCAAATATGTAATATTGGAAAGATTCTTTAGATAATACTATGATAAATGTCTTGATGGCTTTGTTTCTCTGAGGGAGTGGGGAATCCCTGCTTCATACTGTATATAGTTTATATGATCTTGGAAATGTTCCCTCGCCTGTGTGTTAATGTCAGTGTTGCCTTATGCAGAACTGTGAAGCACCTCCTTTCCCTTTTCTTTTGCCATTATAGAATCAGTAGAACCAACACTGTAATCAAAGAAAGAAAAAGGTAATGAAAATGTTTTTATTTCATATGGTCAGTGTTCCAAGTACAATTTAAGAGAAAGCTATTTTGCAAAAGAAGGAGAAGATCGGTGCTGTCTTCCGCTTCAGTTCTCCATAAGCACCATATGTTGTGTGATCATTTAAGGTTCTGTTCCTGTTTAAGCACTTCCAGTAGAGTAATATTGATCTCCCAACACACTTCAAATAGAATGAGTGAGAAGGTATTAGAATGTCTTCCTTAGAAATCTCTCTTGCAGTTTTTAAATTCACATTTCATTCCAATCTGCCGAAGGGTAGACTTTGCTATTTCTAAAGTTTTTCATCATCATCATCATCTTAGAACTGCAGAGCTGGAAAGGACCATATGGATCATCACATCCAGCTTCTATCAAGGAGGAATACTGGGGAATCAAACTCCCAACCTCAGGCCCTGCAGGCAGATACTTAAACCACTGAGCTGTGTGACAGTTGTGTAAAGCATTTGAGGACAAGTCCAGGACCTTTTGCCACTTTTAGGTGCAACAGGAAAGTGGCACTCCCCTGGCCCTGAATTTTAAAATGAACTGTATTCATGTTAGTTTGATACCTATGATATAAAGTTCCAGAAGTACCTCTCCTCCTCCCTAGCAATAAAAATACAATGATAATTGTAAGTTCAGTAACAAAGTGGATCCCTTTTCTTAATACCCAATAGTGTCAAGAATATATTTCTTCACAGTCTCCTACTACTCTCTCCTTTGCTGTTTAATTTATTTCTAAATGATCTTGCCCTCTCCTTTGATGAATCTTGTCATCCACCAAAATTGGCCCAATGAATCAATTACAGTCTCCTCCTTCATGATGAGACGGCCGACACGCTTGGTACCAGATCTCCTCATGAACAGAGTTGTAGATTCAAATAGCTATTCAGCAGCAGCAACCAAGGCAGAATTCAGCATTCCAAATTCATTTTAATATACAGATGTCTTACAACTGCAGAACAGATGAGAATTTGTTTGGTCACCTCTGCAAAACTGAAGTGAGAGATACGTGTATGCAAAAGGTTGCAACATTATTTTGTTTTGGTCTGGTTTTGAAGAAACCACACAAAATTATATGCTTACTATTACCAGACTCTGAAGTTGGATAAGAACAATCCCAAAATGGATTGGAATATTCATTGTAACCTGTAATGTTGAGTCTAATTTAGAAGGACTGGATTTTTTTTCCTAATATGAATTGATCTCACTGCGCAACATTCTCTTATGTCCATCTACTAAAAGAATGGCATTTGCCAGTTGATTTCCCTTCCCCCCTCCAGTCTTATCTCTCCCATGTCAGCTGTTTCAGATCTGGGAACCTCATGACAGGTCTCAGTGGATATATCGAGGGGTTGCGGGAAGGAAAAGGAAGACAGAGAGGATGGGAACAGTTCCATAGGGCAAGGAGAAGTCCAGTTATGCAACAGTGGATGTAGTGCCTGGATTCCAGCTCAGCATAATAAGATGAGCCAACATGGCTGTAGGCTGAACTATTGCCATCACCACAACTTATGGGACACAAGACCTCATAGACATGTCCACTCTGCATATAGGCAAGACGGAAGTGGTTGTAGATATTTAATGTCTTGTAAAACAATTTGTCTTTTTCAAAGTCAGGATTACTAGATGTTCCTTATTTGAGAAGACATGCCTCTCTTTAGAGATGTGGCAGTTCCTCAGAGTTCATTTCAGCCATCACTCTTCATTTAAAATGGAGCTGGACACCTTTTTCAAAAATAATTATTTAAAACTATTTTCAAACTGTTCTAGAAATATATTTCATAAGGGGTTCAGCAGCAAGCTGTGAATTGCAGAACTCAATTCATGTTCATCACATTCAGTTCAGTTCACTGGGGCTTACTCAAAGGCAAATAAATGTAGAATTACAGCCTAATTTTTATAATTATGGGAATGTGACTACCAGAGTATATATGTCTCAAATTGCACTCTACTTTAGACATGCCAACTCTGAGTAAGATTTGGTTCAACTGACATTAATGTAGCAAACCCTAGAATAATTTGGACAACATTAAAACTATTTTATCAAAAGGTGGAATTTTACAACTCATTTAACTGTATAATTTTGTATTTTGGGTCACCTTTTGAAAAAATCAGCATCACTTAGGTCATGGCTTGGTGTTTTACTAGAGTTTAGAGCTGGAAAAAGATAAGAAAAATTGAAGTCTTTCAACTTATCCTCTCCTATTAACTTTTTGCTAATAGCAGAATGATGTATTATTTACCTTGAAATGTTCAAATGTCACCCATCACCTAGCTCTTTCTTTTCAAATGGTTTTGTATGTCTATATACAGAGAGCACAACTCATCACCTTGAAAATGAAATAAGGATGATTCTGTTTCTCTTTTGGTCTTTTTGAGGGTGGTCATAATCTAAAGTAAATTTCTCTATATCATACTGCTTCTACTAAGTGGTTTTGAAAATAAGGAATGTTAATAACCATGTGAGTATATTCAAATATACTTGTCCCTCTGCCCACATATGTGCTAATTCAGACATAAAGGTAAAGGTTCCCCTTGACAATTTGTCCAGTCGTGTTCGACTCTAAGGGGCGGTGCTCATCCCCGTTTCCAAGCCATAGAGCCAGCGTTTGTCCAACGACAATCTTCCTTGGTCACATGGCCAGTGCGACTTAGACACGGAACGCTGTTACCTTCCCACCGAGGTGGTCCCTATTTATCTACTCGCATTTGCATGCTTTTGAACTGCTAGGTTGGCGGGAGCTGGGACAAGCGACAGTTGCTCACTCCGTCACGTGGATTCAGTCTTACAGCTGCAGATCTACAGGCCTTACAGCACAGAGGCTTCTGCAGTTTAACCCGCAGCGCCACCACATCAGACATAACAATGGTCATACTGAAACAACTATGCCAATTTTTTTGTGAAAAGGATCAACCACTACACCTGATTAACCAAGAAATAAATGTACCTGTGGGTTTATTGATATGCTTATTTTCTTCTTAGTATTGTTCTGTATTCTTGCACCTTGAAATTCTTTTGCCTACAATTCTGCATAAATTAACCTGATTATTCTAAAGCAAGCTCAGTGTCTCACCGACTATGAGCCCCATCACACCTGTGTTTTTACCTAAGTGTCTCAAAGTATCTTCTGAAAACCTTATGGTTGGTCTAATCCATAACTGGCTTTGTGATATATAAACACACTTCTTGTATTTTGTGCAAAATGTCCATTATCGGCATTATATTTTGTGCAATACGTACATGTATCTTCAAAATAAGTACTATAATACTTCTTAAGAAAAATGCAAATTGGAAATACTGCATCAGTAATTCCCCATCTTCCAAATTTAAAGCTTGGAAGCAAATAATGCTGGGTCTCCAGAATATACATTGTTTTTCTATCTTATAATTATTAGTGTTTTATCCTCTCCTATTGTTGAGATCTTTTTGACCAAAGCAGACAAAAATTCTTTTGCTACAAAACTTTTCACGGAATCAAAAACGGCCAGAAACTTGGTTAGGAAAGAAAACACAATTTCCAAACTAAAAAAAAGTCTATGGCTTAATGGAATTATATATAAACTTATCAAATCATTTCTGTATTATTTTGACTTTAAGAGAGGGAGAGAATTAAAGTCCTCAATTCTAAAGGAATCTGGTTTCCCATGAAATTAAGGCATGTGGAGACTTAAGCCACTAGAGACAGAGATAATTATGAATAAAGTGAACAGGAGTAACAATTATCATCAGATCCACCACAAGTATATGTTACATACTTTGTATATACAATGTAAAATGTACAAGGAACTGCTGTGTTAGTAACTGGAATCAGGTACAGCTTATACAATTTTACGCAGTGCCGTTTTTTTCTGTCCTTTTTTTGGATGATGCATAGATGTCATCCTGGATTGAAGCTGAGCTCAACTGAGGAGCAGATGGAGACCTCAGTAGAGTATATCCCCTTCTATTCATCTCAAGACAATAGCTCTAAAATTACTTTCTCTAAGGCATGCATCTTACTAAAACCAGGTTGTAGCAATATAAATCTGCTGTTGGACAACATGCTCCTTCAGACTATATGGATAAGAGCTCTCATGATTGAAAGCTTTACCGTAACAGCCTGAAGGCCACATTCTTTTGTGGCTAACTTTCTAGAAGGTGTGTTTTGGAGGTAGGAGGGCATCTAGCAAAAACAGGTAGGGCCCAGAAGCGGAATCCCTCCCATATGCTAATGTACACATCAATTCTTCATATACATAAATGTCCATTTATACATTAATATACATGCACATATGTGCACACATGCTCTCTCTCTCTCTCTCTCTCTCTCTCTCACACACACACACACACACACACACACACACACACACACACACACACACACACACACACACACCAATTGCACTAGCTCCAAGGGAAGGCTTTACTCAAGCCTAATTGGTACTGCTATGTGTGTGTAGGGGGATGAGTCTAGTATGTGAGGAGGTGTGCTGAATGACCCCACTTTCCATGCTGTAATGGTTCCCTGTTGCTTCCCATGTCGCAGTTAGACTGGGTGGTGGTGGTAGCGAACATTTCCATTGGAATTAAATCATGTAGGAGTAGGAAAAGTGGTGAGACTGTGGGCCACATCCCACCTCAAGGTTCCCAAGCCCTGTACTATTCAAAATGCCTCTCTATATCACAGAAAGCCAGATATTAGAGCAAAGTCTACGTATATATCTTTTCCCTTGGGCTGCTAATTTTTTCGCAAAGAAAATGCAGAAGATCATTCTGTCATATCAACCCTGCTGTGCAGTCTAAAGTGATACAATGAATATGCAACTGTATCGCCTTCTTTGTATGAGGATTAGGCCTTCTTTCTAAGAAAATGTGCCAAGGTCAGGATAAGGGCAAAAAAATTTTTAGTGCCCTCCTGACAGAAGATAGAATCTATAAAAACTAAAATGAACTTCTGTTATATTTATACAGATTCCCAGTG